AAGGATCAGACGGCGAGCGAGTAAACTGCCCTCTTCCATCAATCCTATTAGCCAATGTTCAATCATTTGAGAATAAATTAGATTACCTAAGATTACGGTTATCCTACCAACGGGACATTAAAAACTGTAATATATTATGTTTCACCGAGTCGTGGCTGAACGACGACATGGACAACATACAGTTAGCGGGCTATACGCTACATCGGCAGGATAGAACGGCTGACTCCGGTAAGACAAGGGGTGGCGGTCTGTGTATATTTGTAAACAACAGCTGGTGCACAAAATCCAATACTAAGGAAGTCTCAAGATTTTGCTCGCCTGTAGTAGAGTATCTTATTTACCAAGATAGTTTTCATAGCTGTCTATTTCCCACCACAAACCAATGCTGGCATTAAGATGATACTGAATGAGCTGTATAAGGCCATAAGTGAACAGGAAAACGCTCATCCAGAGGCAGCGCTCCTAGTGGCCGGGGACTTTAATGCAGGGAAACTTAAATCAGTTCTACCTAATTTCTACCAGCATGTTAAATGTGCAACCAGAGGAAAAAAACTCTAGACCACCTTTACTCCACACACAGAGATGCATACAAAGCTCTCCCTCACCCTCCATTTGGCAAATCTGACCATAACTCTATCCTCCTGATTCCTGCTTATAAGCTAAAACTAAAGCAGGAAGCACCAGTGACTCGGTCAATAAAAAAGTGGTCAGATGATGCAGATGCTAAGCTACAGGACTGTTTTGCTAGCACAGACTGGAACATGTTCCGGGATTCTTCAGATAGCATTGAGGAGTACACCACATCAGTCACTGGCTTCATCAATAAGTGCATCGATGACATCGTCCCCACAGTGACCGTACGTACATACCCCAACCAGAAGCCATGGATTACAGGCAACATCCGCACTGAGCTAAAGGGTAGAGCTGCCGCTTTCAAGGAGCGGGACTCTAACCCGGACGCTTATAAGAAATCCCGCTATGCCCTCCGACGAACCATCAAACAGGCAAATAGTCAGTACAGGACTAAGATTGAATCGTACTACACCGGCTCTGACGCTCGTCGGATGTGGCAGGGCTTGAAAACTATTACAGACTACAAAGGGAAGCACAGCCGCGAGCTGCCCAGTGACACAAGACTTCCAGACGAGCTAAACCACTTCTATGCTCGCTTCGAGGCAAGCAACACTGAAGCATAAATGAGAGCACCAGCTGTTCCGGATGACTATGTGATCACGCTCTCCGTAGCCAATGTGAGTAAGACCTTTAAGCAGGTCAACATTCACAAGGCCGCAGGGCCAGACGGATTACCAGGACGTGTACTCAGAGCATGTGCTGACCAACTGGCAAGTGTCTTCACTGACATTTTCAACATGTCCCTGACTGAGTCTGTAATACCAACATGTTTCAAGCAGACCACCATAGTCCCTGTGCCCAAGGACACTAAGATAACCTGCCTAAATGACTACCGACCCGTAGTACTGACGTCTGTAGCCATGAAGTGCTTTGAAAGGCTGGTCATGGCTCACATCAACACCATTATCCCAGAAACCCTAGACCCACTCCGATTTGCATACCGCCCCAACAGATCCACAGATTATGCAATCTCTATTGCACTCCACACTGCCCTTTCCCACCTGGACAAGAGGAACACCTACGTGAGAATGCTATTCATTGACTACAGCTCAGCATTCAACACCATAGTGCCCTCAAATCACTAAGCTAAGGATCCTGGGACTAAACACCTCCCTCTGCAACTGGATCCTGGACTTCCTGACGGGCCGCCCCCAGGTGGTAAGGGTAGGTAACAACACATCTGCCACACTGATCCTCAACACGGGGGCCCCTCAGGGGTGCGTGCTCAGTCCCCTCCTGTACTCCCTGTTCACCCATGACTGCATGGCCAGGCACGATTCCAACACTATCATTAAGTTTGCCGACGACACAACAGTGGTAGGCCTGATCACCGACAACGATGAGACAGCCTATAGGGAGGAGGTCAGAGACCTGGCCGTGTGGTGCCAGGATAACAACCTCTCCCTCAACGTGACCAAGACAAAGGAGATGATTGTGGACTACAGGAAAAAAAAGAGGACTGAGCACGCCCCCATTCTCATCGACTGGGCTGTAGTGGAACAGGTTGAGAGCCTCAAGTTCCTTGGTGTCCACATCACCAACGAACTATCATGGTCCAAACACACCAAGACAGTCGTGAAGAGGGCATGACAAAGCCTATTCCCCCTCAGGAGACTGAAAAGATTTGGCATCGGTCCTCAGATCATCAAAAAATTCTACAGCTGCACCATCGAGAGCATCCTGACTGGTTGCATCACCGCCTGGTATGGCAACTGCTCGGCCTCCGACCGCAAGGCACTACAGAGGGTAGTGCGTACGGCCAAGTACATCACTGGGGCCAAGCTTCCTGCCATCCAGGACCTCTATACCAGGCGGTGTCAGAGGAAGGCCCTCAAAATTGTCAAAGACTCCAGCCACCCTAGTCATAGACTGTACTCTCTGCTACCGCACGGCAAGCGGTGCCGGAGTGCCAAGTCTAGGTCCAAAAGACTTCTCAACAGCTTCTACCCCCAAGCCATAAGACTCCTGAACAGCTAATCATGGCTACCCGGACTATTTGCACTGCCCCCCCTCCCCCACCCCGCCCCATCTTTTTACGCTGCTGCTACTCTGTTAATTATTTATGCATAGTCACTTTAACTCTACCCACATGTACATATTACCTCAACTAACTCAACTAGCCAGTGCCCCCGCACATTGACTCTGCACCGGTACCCCCCTGTATATATAGCCTCCCTACTGTTATTTTATTTTACTTCTGCTCTTTTTTTCTCAACACTTTTTTGTTGTTGTTTTATTTTATTTTTTTATTTAAAAAATAAATGCATTGTTGGTTAAAGGCTGTAAGTAAGCGTTTCACTGTAATGTCTACACCTGTTGTATTAGGCGCATGTGGCCAATAACATTTGATTTGATTTGATTTACTAGTGTAAGAAAGCTCTCCCCTACAATGTTTCATATTCTGCTTAGTTTAAGTTTTGCTTAGATTATGACATAATTGGTTTACATTATGAAGTATTACTTACATGCTTACTTGTAATTTTATATTAGGTTGAGATTAATCTCAAAAGGGGAGGAATGTCGTGGCAAAATTACAACTTTAGTTATGCACATGCGCTGTATGAGCCTTAAACATGTACATTTCTAACTGTCTATTTGAAGGTCTTGTAAGGAGCTGGTATTTTTCCACTCTGCCTCTGTTCAATTTAGTCACACGGTCAAGACAAAGACCCCCTGAGAGTGACCACAGTGTCTCAGCCCATCCTGTTTCTTCTCATATCTGTTCAAGGGCACAGCTGTGTGGCAATATGAGGTGACAGAGGCTGGCTTGAACAGAGGAGTAACGGAACTAACGTTATCACTTGTTTGTGGGCTATGACCCGATACACATAGCAACAAGAAGAAAACATGCTAGTTTATGATGCCCTGATCTGCCGGGGAGGGGTGGAACCCGCCATGACGTCACCATTTCCTGTTTGTTGGGCTCTCAACGGGGGTTCGTTGACCAGCTCCAATATTGCAATAATTAATCGATATCAAATAAAGACTGTATATTTGAAGAAATGACAAAGTCTCTCTCACTTGATTAGAATTTCCACGACACTGGTCTACTTATTGACCCACGCCCCACGGAGGGCAGCCCCAGAAGCGTGACATCTTACTGGCTATTTTGTCTGTTCCGGGCGGGTGGAGAGAGCGGGGCGGGAACAATAAGTAGACCAGCGCCATTGGTCTCTTGCGGAAAAGCATGTTTGTGTCAGTTGACGGGACAGTCGCAGGGCCCCTTCAAAATTCTGATCGGCTGGTGCAATCGATTTGTTAGAGTGAAGCGCAGGGACACCTTTTAAGAAGAAATGTTGCAACCTTAGTACTGAACCGCCTACTTTGTCAGAGGTTCAAGCCACTTGGGGTAATAATAGCTAATCACTGTCATGTTGTATGCGACTGACACTTGCAGGGACAGTCACAGCAGGGACCTAGGGTTCAAGTGCAGGAAGGAATGACCCCGAAATATTAATTTGTGATATTACTGTAAGTCAGTCACAAAACATGTTCGGGTTTATTTGACAGATAAATAACTTAGCTAGCTGGATAGCTTATTTTCCTCTCTGGAGAGCTATTAGCTTTGATAGCAAGCAAGCTAAAGTATTAAAACAGCTAGCTGGCATTTCACTTCATTTTCATTGCTAGCTGGGAAATAAAATGACATGGTTTTCTAGTTAACCCCCTATAGTCGATGTCCACACCCCCGCTGAAATAGAATTAGCATAACAATAATAAACAGATACAAATCTGTTTAAACTAGATTTATTTTTTGCATGGGCTGTGTTTCAATCCACTACATCCGCCAACTGCGGCCTTCCGCATCTGCAGTGGAATGCTTCCTGTAGGTCAGTTGGTAGAGCATGGCGCTTGCAATGCCAGGGTTGTGGGTTCGATTCCCACGGGGGGCCAGTATGAAAAATGTATGCACTAACTGTAAGTCGCTCTGGATAAGAGCGTCTGCTAAATGACTAAAATGTAAAAATGAAGGTGGCCGAGCTACAGCGATGTTTGTTAGACCATGACACATCCCGAAAATCATTCTCCTCACGAAAACTTCTGTAGCATCCTACCGTTTTGCTATATGACCCCCACAAGACTCAGACTCGTCTGATATCGGTACCGCCAATCTGCCAACTTTTGTTTTTCTATGTATGAATGTTATTCAATGCCCTTCTATAGGCTAAAACAGGGTTTCCGTAACTCTGTTCTGGGGACCGCCAATGGGTGCATGTTTTCATTTTTTGCCCTAGCCCTGATTCAAATATTTAACTAATCATCAAGCTTCGATTATTTGAATCACCTGTGTAGTGCTCGGGCAAAAAACAAAAACGTGCATCCCTTGGGGTCCCCAGGACCCACAACGTAACGTTTTGAAAGGTGTCACTAGTTAATACAGCCACAAAAATCATAATTGTGGCTAAAAACCACCCATTTCTACAATTTATCTTTAAACCACTGCTAAATGTATGCCCTAAACTTAAATTAAGGCCCACACAACACATTTCACAAGGATTATGTCCTTGCTTTTTTTCTGGTTGCATGAAGAGTCCTGAGCTCTTATAAGCCCACTATTCTATTGGATTTGTGGAGTTTCATATCTACCACTATCTTTTTGTTGTTAAAGCAAGTCTAAATTATTAACATCTACCAGACAATCGTCATTATGAGAAAGCGACAAACAACTTTTTTAGCAGTTGCACTGCAAAAAGAATTTTATTAGGCAGCATTTTCATTTCACAGAAAAATAGCCATCAGGTGCCATCCAGCGGTATAGTACAACTGTAGTTGAATCCGACACGATTGATTGTTTCCTATTGTGAACATGGTACTGCTGTTCTGTGAAGAAGTTAGTATCAATACAAAGTCTGAAAAGGTGTTGTTTAAGTACAAAAACTAAGACAATGTGACAATTACTGAAAATAAGCCTGCAACGCAATCATGATCATTAATGGGTTCGTACTTTTCCGCAACCAAGTTCACCACAGGTTTTAGCAAATGGTTTGAGTAGACTCATTCCTGAGCATTTCTACCAAAAGTCAACCCCATACAAATCACTTAAAATACACCAAAAATAGAAAAGAAAAATTATACATTGCAATCAATTTGAAAACAAAAGGACACTCAGAATGAAAAACCGATGGATGATCTGATCAGAGACATTTAAAACTCAGATGTTCAGTTCAATGGTGTCTTAGTTTTAAAGGGAGGAAAGAAAGTCAAAGGGACTATAAAAGCAACATCTGAATTCGCAAAGCTTTCGTGAGCAATATACAAGCTGCAGACGGTTTCACTTGCATACACTTAAACGTGTGACTGGGAACAAGGGTGTTCAGACCTCAGTAGCGGCGACCGAACGCCCCGCCACCCTGCATCCCACTGCCTTGCATCATCTGGTTCTGACGGTTCAGAGCTCCAGAGAGGGACTGGGAGGTCCCCGTTGGTATGTAGCCTCCACCACGACTGTGGGTCAGAAAACACTATCAGTATCCATATTGCTAAAGGTTTTCACCCTTACTAGGGGGAATAACAGTTGCACCCGGCTCAAAAGTTTACTCCATCTGGCCCCACATTTTCTAATTCTACATTGACTGGTGTGTCTCAGGTGTGATAAAAGCAGTAAATAATGCTATAGATTTGAGTTTACCTTGCCATTCCTCCCCGTGCCCCAATGTGACTTTGGCCTGGGATGCCGCCATCTCGACCTGTTTGCCACGTTCGGTCCCCATCTATTTTCCGTCCTGAGTCCCAGTCACGGCCCTCCCTGAAAGAAACAGACAGTCGATGACGAGCAGTGCAGAACACACCATGGTCTCCAACTCGTGAGAGGTAAATAAACTCGGCAAAGCCATCTAAATCAAACTGACCTTGGATTAATAGTACGCTTGTCATAACTTCCTGCAGCGGTCCAGGTGTCCCTCCCGTGCCTCTCGGTACGGTCCGAGAAGTGCTGCCAAGAAGGAAGCATGATTAAAACCAAACAATGAGGTTCACATTTAAATAGCCACCAAATGGGAGAAAATGCTGTAAAACAGGAGGTAGTACATTAAGATCAATAACACATACTTGTGCCTCATTGCATACATAAGGCCATGTCTCTTACCGTGCTATCCCGGTCTCCAACCACAGCCCGTGAAGTGTCCCTCCTACTGGAAAGATCTCTGATTATTAAACAAACATCCAGCATCGATCTAAGCATGTGGCACACAACTACAAATTCACCACCAACAAGCAGTTGGCCATTAATACTACTTTTTTACATAAGTATACATATAGGCATCTATTACAGAATCAGTCGCAAAATATTTGACCCCCCATCATATGGCCTACACAAGGACAATGTCATAAACCGTCATGACAGCTGGTGTCAGCTCGCGTCAAATAACCTTACTCTACTCTGTACCTGTCAATGACTGAATCGTCCTGGTAGCGACTGCGGTCCCTGTGGTCAAAGTCTTGGTAGCGCTCCTGCCGACCGAAGTCTGAGCGCCCCCCATAGCGGTCATCCATAGCCAGCCTCTTGTTGTCCTGCCAGTTGTCTTTCCTACAAGCAGCAGGTCTTTGTCAGTCAGTCGCAATAAAATATTCTCAAACCAGGCACACCTTTACATGACAGGCATGCATACTGAAGATCTAGAGGCTGAGGTTGTGGCCATATCCATCCATCTATTCTATAATAGCGACCTGGTAATTCAAACGGGGGTACTGACGCTATGGAGAGGGGGGAAGACAGGGATAAAGTGTGTACCTGCTGTCCACGTCAGCGTAGGGCCTCTTGAGGGGCCGGCGGTCCTGCTCGAAGCGCAGCTGCTCCTGCTGCCTGCGGAGCTCCTCCCTCTCCCGTTGGATCCTCTCCTGCTCACGTCGGCGCTCATACTCCACACGCTGACGCTCGCGCTCCAGGAACTCGCGCTCCAGGCGGTCAAAGTTCAGCTGCTCCTTCTCCACCTCCAGCCAGTTTCTCTTACGTAGGAGGCGCTCGCGCTCCTCCTTCTCCCGGAACAAGCGGATACGCTCGCGCTCCGTGCGGCTGTCTACGCCGCCTCGATCTGCACCACTGCTGCGGTCGCGCTCACTGGGACAAACAGAAAGCATAGGAGATATTTAGCTGATCCCACTTTGAATGACGAATCCCTTTTCAAAGCATACTACCAAACTGCTATAACAAGCTGGCTTCAGGTGAATTGTCCTGCAGCTACAGCAACTCCTCACCCAGAGTGCCTGCGTCTCTCCACCTCCCTGATGTCCCTCTCCCGCTGTCTCTGTCTCTCCCGCTCACGCTGCTCCTTGATCTGGTCAAATGACAGGATATCCTTCTCTTTGCTTGTAGACCTGCGATCACGACTCTTGGTGCTCTGGATTGAACAACAAAAGCTCATGTAGCGTACCACTTTTCACAGAAGTTTGTGAAAGTTCAATAGATGGAGCAGAGGTCAGCGTTTGGGTATCTTACCCGGTCTTTGCTTTTGGATTTCACGCTGACAACAGGCTCTCCCTTAGAGTTGTCCATCACCACTGTCCTCTCATTGAGTTTCCCATCTTTCCCGACTTCACCTTCAGCCTTGTTTGCATCGGACCTGGATAGAGAAAATGGTTAAAGGGATAGTTCACCCAAACTACAAAATGACATATTGGTTTCCTTAACCTGTAAGCAGTCTATGGACAAGGTATGACAGCAGTCAACGCTTTGGTTTAGTTTCCCTGGCACGGTTTCCAAATGCTAATATTTTAGCATTTGCGGCACAAATCCCATTCAAGTCAAGGCATCGATATTAGCATCATGTCCAAATCATCCCTATGTATTTCAAATTGATTGTGAAGCTCAAAGTCACAGATGATTTGAACATGACGCGTGAAAAATGCTAATACCGGTCCCATGATGTGAATGGGATTTGTGCCACAAATGCAAAAGTTTGCAAACAAAACCAGCCACTGCCAGAGAAATTAAACCAAAGCATGGATTGCTGTCATACCTTGTACACAGACTGCATGACATACAGTACATAACTTAATGTGTAATGACATGTGTTCTCAGCTCTTACTTGGAGTCTGAGGATTGTCTACTGTCGGTGCCAGACTTGTCAGCAGGCTTTTTCCCAGCAGGCTCATTCTTCGCCTGGAACAGATGTCAGAGGTCAAACAGTGACACAGAGATTAGAATGGTCAAACCTCACTTCTCTGAATGAAGGCATCTCATTAATTTGATAAACACTACAGGTTTACGGTTCTGTGTGTACAGCAGTGGTCAGTCACAGAGGCCACTGACATGCAAGGTGGTAGATAATGACCCTCACCCTCTCAACAGAGATCATTCTCCCGTGGAGCTCAGTCCTGTGCAGGTGGCTGATGCACTTGGTGGCCTCTTCTGTGGAACATATAGTGACAAAGCCATAGCAACGAGCCCCAGGGCTCCGGGCATTAGTCACCACTTTAGCGCCAACAACCTGAGGAGAGACGGAGAACGATAGGACACTTAAATTGTTGGGCAGGGAAAGTGTGTGTCTGTGGGGTCCAAAAAAAACAGACAGTACCATTCCGCATTTTGCTCAATTATACTGACCAAAAATAAAAACGCAACATGCAATAATTTCTAAGGTTTTACTGAGTTACAGTTCATAACGAAATCAGGCAATTGAAATAAACTAATTTAGGCCCTAATCTATGGATTTCACATTACTGAGAATACAGATAAGGTATCTGTGACCAACAGATGTTTTTTTTTTTTTTTAAGAATGAAAGTGGATCAGAAAACCATTCAGTATCTGGTGTGACCATTTGCCTCATGCAGCACATTTACATTAAAGTCATTTAGCAGACGCTCTTATCCAGAGCGACTTACAGTTATAGAGTGCATACATTTTCATACTGGCCCCCCGTGGGAAACAAACCCACAACCCTGGCGTTGCAAGCGCCATGCTCTACAAACTGAACTACAGGAGACCACACGACAGCTCCTTCGCATAGAGTTGATCAGGCTGTTGATTGTGGCCTGGAATGTTGTCCCACTCCTCTTCAATGGCTGTGCGAAGTTGCTGGAGATTGGCGGGAACTGGAAGTCCCTGTCGTACACGTCGATACAGAGCATACAAAACATGCTCAATGGGTGACATGCCTGCTGAGTATGCAGGCCACGGTAGAACTGGGACATTTTCAGCTTCCAGGAATTGTGTACAGATCCTTGAGACATGGGGCCGTGCATCATCATGCTGAAACATAAGGTGATGGCAGCGGATGAATGGCACATCAATGTGCTTCAGGATCTCATCACGGTACCTCTGTGCATTGAAATTGCCATCGATAAAATGCAATTGTGTTCGTTGTCCGTAGCTTATTCCTGTCCATACCATTACCCCACCATGGGTACTCTGTTCAAAGTTGACATCAGCAAACCGCTCACCCAAACGACGCCATACACTGTACAGTTAAAAACAAGATTCATCTGTGAAAAGCACTTCTCCAGTGTGCCAGTGGCAATCGAAGGTGAGCATTTTCCCACTGAAGTCGGTTACGACGCCGAACTGCAGTCAGATCCTGGTGAGGACGCCGGGCACGCAGATAAGCTTCCCTGAGACGGTTTCTCACAGTTTGTGCAGAAATTCTTATTCTAACGCAGTATTTTATTGTCCCCAGCACAAGGTGTCCCCTGTGTAATGATCATGCTGTTTAATCAGTTTCTTGATATGCCACACCTGTCAGGTGGATGGATTATCTTGGCAATAGAGAAATGCTCACTAACAGGGATGTAAACAAATTTGTGCATGACATTTGAGATAAATAAGCTTTTTGTGAGTATGGAAAATGTCTGGAATATTTTATTTCAGCTCATGAAACACTTTAAATGTTGCATTTATATTTTTGTTCAGTGTACACTCATGCACATCACCAAAAAGGGTGGAATTTCTTCTCAGGATACTGACCTTTCCATACTTGCTGAACAGAGTCTTCAGATCAGTCGCTCTGGTGGTGCTGGAGAGACCGCTAACCCACAGGTTTCTGCCACTACTTGCTGGAGCATTACCTGCAGGGGCTTTTGGAACACAGACAAACATGACCCAGATGGACATTCAACTCAGAGCCGATTCAGCACCTTATTCAGGTGAGAGCATGTCATTTGCAATTATCTACAATGGACATCCCAATTACGAAATGATACAGAAGGGACCATATTCACGCTTACCATTTTCATCTTTTGAGTCAGGCTTGCTACCCTTTTCCTCATCAGAACTAAAGGCAAAGAGAACACGTAATGAATATTTGGAAATGAGAAGACCTGGGGGAGGGGGGTCTCATCCAGATGAATCATACTTACCCTGTGCACACAGTAATTATCCCCAGCATATACAACATTACAGTGATTTGGGTGGGTGTCAATGTCACTAGGCTGCCTTAGATGATCAAAGAATCTCCCAATAGATGCAGTAAAGAGGTCAATGGAACGCAGACCGTGAGGGATAGGAGGATGCCGAAATGGCGCCCATTCAACAAATCTGATCTAACAAAGCGGATATTTGTCAAAACAGTCATGATTGATACATTGTGACCCACAATGTGGTTACTAAAGTCTGATTTCGATATATTGGGATACATTACATTTAGAAGCAGTCCCTTTTCAGGTTTAGAAGAAGTGACTGCGAAATGCGAACTCCTGTTTGTATAAGCTGGTAGCATAGAGAAATCGGTGGTAGTCACTCGTTATTAACTAATGCAGTTGGTGACGATGACATGAACATGTATTGGGGTTGACATCCGTACAAGCATTATACTCCGATTTCTACCTTAATATAGTGGGAAATACACAAATGGCCTAAATGTAGGCACATTTTGCTGGGGGGGGGGGGGGGTTCCACCAAGCGTTTCCATGGCATTTCCATTGTATTGGTCGAGTTCCATTGACCTCTTTACCGCATCTATACATTACTTTATGATGGTTAAGAGGTGAGGTATAGGTGGGGAATGACAAAATGAAAACTTGACAAATGCCCAGACCATTTTTGCCTCCAAAAGAGCACCAAAACTTGCTAAAAAAATAGCCAATGCAACAGAGATAGCCATTGTTCTAGTAGACAGAAAACAACAAACCTCTTTTTCTGATCATCGCCCTCAACAGATGAGGACTCTTTCACTGCCGTTGATTCTGCAGCGTTCTCTTCAGTCTTCTTATCTTCCTCCTCACCCTCAGCCTTAGAGACCATTTCAGAATCAACAGCGCTTTCGCCCATGCCCTGCTCGTTTACACTAACAGCCTGAGTACTTTCAGCGTCAACGGTCTCTTCAGCGTCTTTCATTTGACACTCAGTTAGCTTAGCAACGTCCTGGTCGCTAGTCGACAGTTTAGTCTCTACATTGACAGACTCCTCGGCTTTAGTGGTGTCACACACATCGTCTTCCTCTGCAACATTGACCATGTCCCCGATGGTGCCTTGATCTTCAGTTGGTGTCTCCTGGCGCTCTTCATTTAGTGGCTCAGATAAACAAGACCCGGCTACTTTCTCATTTTCTACGGATTTAACAGGAATAGAATGGCACAGAGTTTAATTACTTCTGAAACACAGCAATGGTTAACGTGGAACTGGCAAGGCTGGAAAAGGACGTGGCCCTCCGCTGTCATTGAACTATGTATACACAGATATACACGTAACAAGAGACTGGAAAAACCAAAGAGACTGACCAAGCAGCCTAACTCCTCATTCAAGTCGACCATTTCAGTTCACCTGATCCCAAGGTAGAAATAGATCTGATCTGAAGAAAGCCACAAGATCAGCAGAGGCACAAGGAAGGTCCATCTTCATGCAATTGCTGACTTCATGAGTGTCCATAATGTGGTAAGTGACATCGAATTCAGAATTCCATTAGTCTCATGTCCAGTGAGAATATTAGTCAGTCCTAAAAAGGCTTTTTAGTGGTTGGTTTCAAATGATGGGCCTCAGTCTTCTTTTCTTCTTGGTCTTTGTGTGGCAACCTAAAAACACTGCATATCACTTGCAACAACTCACTAACTAAACCTTTAATTACTGTCTCTGTGCTTCAGAATGTTAACCAATTCTGTGTTAATAATAGGAGGGTGCCCAAAATGGACAGATTTATGTCAGTATTTAACAATTTTAGTTAACAAGCGTCAACACACAGTCAGCAATTATCTTTGGATTTCCAGTCTCTGACCAACCACAGCAAGAATTTTAATCTAAAGGACTTGCATTCCAAGGTTTACACTGCAAAAAGAAAGTGTGCATTCATATGAACTTCCAACCCCTTTTCAAAAAGGTACCTATTTCTTCCTTTGAGTCTTCGGGCTCCGGATCCTTCTCTTGAACCTAAAGAAATAAAGGGAAAATGTATCTAGTGTAACATGGTTCGGTACCCAACACAAATGGCTTTTTACAGTCATTCAAAGTGTTTTCCTTCCAACTACAAACAAATGATCATGAAATGCTGCTTGCATTTTATGGCTTTTTACAGTCATTCAAAGTGTTTTCCTTCCAACTACAAACAAATGATCATGAAATGCTGCTTGCATTTAAGTTGAACTATATACCTCTTTAGGTGATGGGCAAGTGAGATCATTCTTTTCCATGTCTGCTACTTTAGGCTGTACATCCTAGTTTTAGAAAGAGAAAAAAAAAGAACAATCACACACACACACGCATGGTGCAACATTTCAAACAAGTAGGAAAATATTGGAAACATCATTAGACATGACTGTTCCACACAACTCTTGTGCATGTGTCTCACCTCTTCAGGTTTGGCTTTGCCCATTGGCTCGGGAGAGTCAGAGATGCCAATGTCGTGTTCATCTTCGTTCATGGCATCCTCTTCGTCACCCTGGATCTCATGGTTGCCTTTGTCTGACGGAGAGTTCAGGACTTCATCCGTGTCATACTCCTCCTCTGCTGGCATACTGTTGTCATTCTCAGCTTCATCAAGCACATTCATATCCAGGATGTCCATGTCCTGCATGTTTTCCATGTCATCCTTGAAGGGAAGTGATCAATAGATTGTTATCCAGGGAGACTAACAGTAGAGCATAGCGATTGCATTAGATTAAACCAGGTGATTCAATGGTTGATGCGCACCTGGCCATCACCCGAATCTTCCTCAATGGTGCAGTCCTCTGGTTCATCGTTCTCCTGTCTTTTCCCTGCAAATGAGCAATGTCTCATTTTAAGGCTCTCTGTAATACGTTTTAAATTTACTTCAAGACATTATTGCTGACTTATGACCTTGCGCTCACTCCTTTAACATACCTTTGGAGGTCCGTTTAGTCAGTGCCTTCTTAGGAGTTCCATCGAGAACAACCACCATCTCATCTGGATTTCCACCCTCTTCTTCAATCGCCTGTGGAGAAATTGATGACGACATGATGAAATAATGATAGTTACCTAGCCAACTACGTTAGATCTGGTTTCTGGAGTTAAGCCAATTTGGATATTATCAAACACACGGCTATGTGGTCAGTTATTGGCTACAACGGTGCTGACTAGTGGGATTGTTACTTAACGATAACTAGCTATACATCTGACCCGCGAAGCTAGCTGCAGGCCTAGGCCGGGGCAGAGTTTCGCAAACCTATTTTTATTTTATTTAACTAGGCAAGTCAATTAAGAACAAATTCTTATTTACAATGACGGCCTACTTGTAAAAAAAACCCGCCCCCGCCCAAACCCTCACCTAAACCGGACGACGCTGGGCCAATTGTGCATCGCCCGCCTAACCTCTCATCGTGTACCCACAGCCATTCAACGTATTTTATGTATTCTAAAACTGGCACATATAATTCAAATGGTCAAATAATCACCAAGACCTTTAGTAGTTGAATCGGTTGTGCACGTTTTAGAATACGGAATGGGGGTGCTCGAGGAAAGGTTTGAGAAAGGGCACCATGTGGCTAACGCCACGCAAGGCCATGGTTAGCTAACGTTCACTTTATTCATTTGGAGTGAATATCAAAATTGAGCTAATGCTAGTGGTTATAGCTAACTATTCATCATTCAACTAACTAATTAATTAAATGATACTGGTTCCACTTAATTGTGGAATTATCACGAAAGGTCATATCAGTTGGCAAAATACCAAACACATTAGCACAGCTATCCATCTACTAGCTAGCTAGCATGCCTACCTTTTTCAGCCTCTCAGTCAGCGTACTCTTGATGCCAATGGTGTCCAGATTTCGTCTTTTTAATTCGGCTTTCAAGTCAATGACTCTCAGCTCCGACAATTTGCGAATCGCTCCCTCCGGAATCTCAACGGCCCCAGCTTCTCCTGCCGAAGAGTTTTCAGCCATGATTACAACGAGAAAACGCAACAACAAAAAAGTGTTTGCAATCACCGAATAGCTGCTCTCTTGCACGAAAACAGGCGGTCTACTGTTACAAAATGGCGTACTTTGAAAAGGACACTGCGCATGCGTTTTTTGATGACAGTATGTACCTGATCGGCAGTGTCCTTGTTAGGAAATGATTTATGTATACGGTATTTGAGGGAAATTTGAAATTCAGAATGTTCAGAAACAAGTTTTAATAAGTTATTTATGTTAGAAAAAAATGACAAATATTTCATACTACCATGTGAAAGAAATGTAATAATACCATGCCCAAAATGTAATGGTTCTGCTTTGAACTATAGAAAAGGCACTATATTTTCATACAATTTTTACAAACACCCATTACATGACCACAAAAAGATATTCCATCATTTTTTTTATCTCTGTATCCTTTAACATATAAACAATGCAGTAAGTTGCACAATAAGTTAATGTGTAGGTCTGTAGACAAAACAGAATAGGTCGCACGCTTACAACTCCACAAATTGACAGGACTAACATTACATTTTACATTTTAGTCATTTAGCAGACGCTCTTATCCAGAGCGACTTACAGTTAGTGATTACATATAAAAAAAAATTATACTGGCCCCCCGTGGGAATCTAACCCACAACCCTGGCGTTGCAAACGCCATGCTCTATCAACTGAGCTACATCCCTGCCGGCCATTCCCTCCCCTACCCTGGACGACGCTGGGCCAATTGTGCGCCGCCCATGAGTCTCCCGGTCGCGGCCGGCTGCGACAGAGCCTGGATTTGAACCAGGATCTCTAGTGGCACAGTTAGCACTGCGATGCAGTGCCTTAGACCACTGCACCACTCAGGAGACATCATGAATGGAAGTTGTGCACTGAACCGATATGTGAGGTCCTCTACTTGACCATGAGGTAGGCTTTTGCTTGTGGTGAGAGGCTGAGGGGCGTCAGAATCAAACAACCCTGTACTGTGATCCTCCACCGGTAGATTGACCTTCCCAGTGAAAGACGGGGTGACATACTCTCCTGGCTGTGAGTAATATGACAAGGTGGTGGAGTAAGTCTCTGAGGCAGGGAAGCTTGGCCCAAAGCGCTCTGGGAAGGAGGAGGAATGGCTGAATGAGTGAAGGTCAAATGAGGAGGAGGCCGAGTTGGAGTGGGGAAGCCGAGGTTCGTGGAGATTTAGTTTGAATACCAGTGGTTTGCCCACAGTGACAGTTTGCCTCTCTTGGACCTCCTCATCCAAGTTCGTATATTGATACTGGGCACACAGTGAATGTCAGCTCCTTCTGTAATGAGAACAAGCAAAGGCAGATGTGTCAGAGCTCATAAAAAGAGGATAGTCACATAACTCATATAAACCACAGGCCTACACAGAGAAGGGATTCACAATCACCTTGAGCAAGGTTCTTACAGGGTTGCCTGGGCTCTCACATATCCAATATATTATTTTATTTTGAACTCTGCATTGTTGGAAAAGAGCTCGTAAGTACGTATTTCACGGTAAAGTCTACACCTGTTGTATTTGGCACATGTATAAAATACAATTTGATTTGGACAAATCTGGTAACAATGATATCTGATTTGGATTTCTAATACTAACAATGGTCCCACTGTTTTGGGGCACCCCCGAGAGTCAGTGTGTAAATTGAACCCTGACCTTGAGTCTCTGTAGGCCCTTCAGGCGGGTGTAGAGGCCTGGGAGCTCTGCAGGCAGGAGGATGTCCATTGGCAGTAAACTCCCTGCATCTAGGAGGCTCTCCTGATTACTCATCTTCAGATCCAGATCCAAACCCTGCCATCATAAAGAACACAATAGGAAACAGGAACGAGTATGATTACATGTCTACATGACAGAAACGTATTACTGTGCAATGTTTAATAGAGTCACCATGCCTGATTGTGCTGCAGTGGAATATTGTTGAACATATTAAGACATTTTGACAATGGAGCAGCTAACCTCAGTGAAGTCTTTGAGAGTTTTTTTATTTACCAAGAGAGTTCTCTTATTTACCAAGATAGTTTTCATCTATATTTTTCATAGCTGTCTATTTACCACCACAAACCAATGCTGGCATTAAGATTGCACTGAATGAGTTGTACAAGGCCATTAATCAACAGGAAAACGCTCATCCAGATGCAGCGCTCCTAGTAGCCGGGGACTTTAATGCAGGGAAACTTAAATCCGTTCTACCTCATTTCTACCAGCATGTTAAATGTGCAACCAGAGGGGAAAAAAACTCTAGACCACCTTTACTCCACACACAGAGACGCATACAAAGCTCTCCCTCGCCCTCCATTTGGCAAATCTGACCATAACTCTATCCTCCTGATTCCTGCTTATAAGCAAAAACTGAAGCAGGAAGCACCAGTGATTCGGCTAATAAAAAAGTGGTCAGATGACGCAGATGCTAAGCTACAGGACTGTTTTGCTAGCACAGACTGGAATATGTTCCGGGATTCTTCAGACAGCATTGAGGAGTACACCACATCAGTCACTGGCTTCATCAATAAGTGCATCGATGATGTCGTCCCCACAGTGACCGTACGTACATACCCCAACCAGAAGCCATGGATTACAGGAAACATCCGCACTGAGCTAAAGGGTAGAGCTGCCGCTTTCAAGGAACGGGACTCTAACCCGGACGCTTATAAGAAATCCCGCTATGACCTCCGACGAACCATCAAACAGGCAAAGAGTCAATACAGGTCTAAGATTGAATCATACTACACTGGCTCTGACGCTCGTCGGATGTGGCAGGGCTTGAAAACTATTACAGACTACAAAGGGAAGCACAGCCGCGAGCTGCCCAGTGACACAAGCCTACCAGACGAGCTAAACCACTTCTATGCTCGCTTCGAGGCAAGCAACACTGAAGCATGCATGAGAGCACCAGCTGTTCCGGATGACTATGTGATCACGCTCTCCGTAGCCGATGTGAGTAAGACTTTTAAGCAGGTCAACATTCACAAGGCCGCAGGGCCAGACGGATTACCAGGACGTGTACTCCGAGCATGTGCTGACCAACTGGCAAGTGTCTTCACTGACATTTTCAACATGTCCCTGACTGAGTCTGTAATACCAACATGTTTCAAGCAGACCACCATAGTCCCCGTGCCCAAGAACTCTAAGATAACCTGCCTAAATGACTACCGACCCGTAGCACTGACGTCTGTAGCCATGAAGTGCTTTGAAAGACTGGTCATGGCTCACATCAACAGCATAATCCCAGAAACCCTAGACCCACTCCAATTTGCATACCGCCCCAACAGATCCACAGATGATGCAATCTCTATCGCACTCCACACTGCCCTTTCCCACCTGGACAAGAGGAACACCTACGTGAGAATGCTATTCATTGACTACAGCTCAGCATTCAACACCATAGTGCCCTCTAAGCTCATCACTAAGCTAAGGATCCTGGGACTAAACACCTCCCTCTGCAACTGGATCCTGGACTTCCTGACGGGCCGCCCCCAGGTGGTAAGGGTAGGTAACAACACATCTGCCACACTGATCCTCAACACGGGGGCCCCTCAGGGGTGCGTGCTCAGTCCCCTCCTGTACTCTCTGTTCACCCATGACTGCATGGCCAGGCACGACTCCAACACCATCATTAAGTTTGCCGACGACACAACAGTGGTAGGCCTGATCACCGACAACGATGAGACAGCCTATAGGGAGGAGGTCAGAGATCTGGCCGTGTGGTGCCAGGACAACAACCTCTCCCTCAACGTGACCAAGACAAAGGAGCTGATCGTGGACTACAGGAAAAAAAAGAGGACTGAGCACGCCCCCATTCTCATCGACGGGGCTGTAGTGGAACAGGTTGAGAGCTTCAAGTTCCTTGGTGTCCACATCACCAACGAACTATCATGGTCCAAACACACCAAGACAGTCGTGAAGAGGGCACGACAAAGCCTATTCCCCCTCAGGAGACTAAAAAGATTTGGCATGGGTCCTCAGATCCTCAAAAAATTCTACAGCTGCACCATCGAGAGCATCCTGACTGGTTGCATCACCGCCTGGTATGGCAACTGCTTGGCCTCTGACCGCAAGGCACTACAGAGGGTAGTGCGTACGGCCCAGTACATCACTGGGGCAAAGCTCCCTGCCATCCAGGACCTCTATACCAGGCGGTGTCAGAGGAAGGCCCTCAAAATTGTCAAAGACTCCAGCCACCCTAGTCATAGACTGTTCTCTCTGCTACCGCACGGCAAGCGGTACCGGAGTGCCAAGTCTAGGTCCAAAAGACTTCTCAACAGCTTCTACCCCCAAGCCATAAGACTCCTGAACAGCTAATCATGGCTACCCGGACTATTTGCACTGCCCCCCCACCCCATCCTTTTTACGCTGCTGCTACTCTGTTAAGTATTTATGCATAGTCACTTTAACTCTACCCACATGTACATATTACCTCAACTACCTCAACTAGCCGGTGCCCCCGCACATTGACTATGCAACGGTACCCCCCTGTATATATAGCCTCCCTACTGTCACTTTATTTTACTGTATATATAGCCTCCCTACTGTCACTTTATTTTACTTCTGCTCTTTTTTTCTCAACACTTTTTTGTTGTTGTTTTATTCTTACTTTTTTGTTTAAAATAAATGCACTGTTGGTTAAGGGCTGTAAGTAAGCATTTCACTGTAATGTCTGCACCTGTTGTATTCGGCGCATGTGACCAATACAATTTGATTTGATTTGATTTGATTTGAGATGAACAGAGCAGGACACAATGTCCTTGGGCTTCTCCAATATTCGGGTGTAGATGATCATGATGTTGGAGAACTCTGCTGCGAAGCCCAGCTGCACCTTCACGCCACTGTCAAACTGCAGGTTATGACTCTCTGGAAGAACTGGAACAGGCAATGCTTATTGAAGCCGTTATGCAGTGCTTACTTAGCTCTACCAGAACTCATATCAGCTCCAAGAGTGAATGCCTTGGCATTAGCTCAGAGGGATAATGTTATCTTGATTTACACAGATGACCCGGCTTCAAAACCCATTTGGTCACTCCACTAATGTACCTTGATTGAAACATGCATGGTGAATAAGCCAAAGGACTCACCATGTGCTATGGCCCACTGCAGGTTACGTGCTGAAGTGGTCTCTGGGCAGCCAGAGCCCTGGATGCGGTCAGTGAGTCCACGTCGCTCAGACAGATTACTGCGTAACTCTAGAGCCTGCCGCCCTCGTGTGATCTCACACCGACCCATGTCTGTACAGATACATGAACCAAACAGAGAAACTACATTAACATACATTTTTAAAGATTGGTATTCATGACATGTGTCACAATACTTCAAAATACATTTTTTATTTTTATAGCGTATATTCAATGTAATCAGTAATAGTGATACCTTCGGCCACCCTGTCCAGCATGACAGTGACCTTCTCGTCATGCATGACCCTCTGTTTGAGGAAACTGATGAAAATTCCATTGGACACGTCGTCTTTGTTCACCTCAAAGGCCTCTGCATCCACACAACTAGGCATAATCAGAGATTAATATAACACATTCTGTGATATGTGTATTTGAGTGAGAGTTACTTTTAGGCGGCAGAGAAGTAACTCACGTGGCATTACCAAACACTATGTTTGCAGTCACTTTCAGTTGCCCCGGCTGTGGAGGGATGCCGTCGTTCAAGTTTCTAAGACAATATAAGTTTAATACAGATATTAATTTAATTAAACATCATACCAGCAATATCATCATTACATTATCATAGAACCCAATCACATAGTTGATGCTGAAAACTGTAAATTTTGCGACACATGTCCAACAGAAAGATATTGAGGCCTGTCTCTCGCTCCTGCATCCACTGTAGCACATCCTGCACCCACAGGCAGTTCTCTGAGGTATAAGAGGCCGGGGCATCAATGGGCACCATGAAACTGTTCCCATAATTCTCATTACCATGACCCGCAAAGTACAGAAGCCCTGGAACATGATGGGAGAGGTGGAACGGGAGAAGCGTGGGCACTATTAGACAGCTGGACAATGCATATCATTCTATAATATTACTATTTAACTACTATGATATCTTATAGTAACTTAACTGACCATAGACTCCACGGTCAAGCAGTAGTAGGAACTCAGTCACAGCACTGTGCGTCTCCTGCTAGTTGAGGTCCAGCAGAGAAACCACCTTGAAGTCCAGCTGGCGCAGCAGGTTGGTCATTTCGTGCACATCTGCCATGGGGGCTCGCAGCGGCCTGTGGTGCAGGTAGTTCATGTTGCCCATCAGAAGGGCCACCTTGTCTGTGGCTATGACAAACAAGAGGAAATCAAGGAATGAGGGTACATAGCAGAAATATGTTATTCAAATGGGACAATCATATACATATACAGTCATTTGTGTTTCTAAAGCTTTTTTTTCTACACTGCATTTCCTTTTAGATGGTTAAATGTTTTATTGCACTTACCATATAATTTACTTATCTGCCTGGCAGGGCTAGGACTGGCAGCTGTAAAATATTGTTTATAATGTTGTTATAAATTAATCACATTACCGGTTGCGGTATGCCGATTAAAAAACAGGTGAGATACTGAATGGAAAAATAGTGAAGGTGGTTAAAATACAGTACTATGATGTTTTTACCATGGTCTACTTCTGCCCAGGAGGCATCAATGGTGGAACCAGGGTCTACAAACACCACAAACAAGGAAGTCAGTCAAAGCAGTGTGTCATGTGCTTTCCTGGACAATCAAAACATATTATTATAACTAGAATTACCAATTCAACCATTTCATGCATGAATCCTCAAAATTAAGACAAAACTAAAAGCGAAACATAGAAAAGAAGTCATCAAAGTCTGACCACAGAACAGAAATAACAGACTGACTTCTGTTACAGACAATACAAACACTACAGATGCACCACTCTCACCTATTATGACATAGACCTGGTTGCTCCACACCTCGTGGTAGAGGTTGAACACTCTGTAGCTGTACTGTCCTCTATCTGCTGTGGTCACACACAGGATCTGCAGACAAAACAGTACACATACAGTACCAACTCCAAACATGACAATCACATACAGCCAAAACACAGACACATACAGTTCCAAGATGGCTGATAGAATGGGACCTATACTTTTTAAACATAGTAATCATATATTCAGGGGACCCATAACTGCACTGACCCTCAGGGTGCTTTTCTTGCCCATCAGCATTGGTTGTTTGCTATGATACCACTGGTACTGAGGAGAAGGGTTGGTCTCAGCAAAGCAGTCCAGACACAGGGAGTCCCCTTCGGCTACTGCCTGGGGCCCGGGGCTGACAAACAATACGCACTCCACTCACTGAGGGGGGGGGAAGAAGCTGCTACTGACACCTGAAACACAGCCATGATTAGGACACAAGGAATCAGGGGTGAAAGTAGATGTAATTTCTTCCCAGTCTGGGGACCTCCTATGTGTGCTTAAAAATATATACAGTTGAAGTCGGAAGTTTACATACACCTTAGCCAAATACATTTAAACTCAGTTTTTCACAATTCCTGACATTTAATCCTAGTACAAAATTCCCTGTCTTAGGTCAGTTAGGATCACCACTTTATTTTAAGAATGTGAAATGTCAGGATAATAGTAGAGAGAATGATTTATTTCAGCTTTTATTTCTTTCATCACATTTCCAGTGGGTCAGAAGTTTACATACACTCAATTAGTATTTGGTAGCATTGCCTTCCATTGGGTCAAACGTTTCGGGTAGCCTTCCACAAGCTTCCCACAATAAGTTGGGTGAATTTTCACCCATTCCTCCTGACAGAGCTGGTGTAACTGAGTCAGGTTTGTAGGACTCCTTGCTCGCACACGCTTTTTCAGTTTTGTCCACAAATGTTCTGTAGGATTGAGGTCAGGGATTTGTGATGGCCACTCCAATACCTTGAATTTGTTGTCCTTAAGCCATTTTGCCACAACTTTGGAAGTATGCTTGGGGTCATTGTCCATTTGGAAGACCCATTTGCGACCAAGCTTTAACTTCCTGACTGATGTCTTGAGATGTTGCTTCAATATATCCATATAATTTTCCTTCCTCATGATGCCATCTATTTTGTGAAGTGCACCAGTCCCTCCTGCAGCAAAGCACCCCCACAGCATGATGCTGCCACCCCTGTGCTTCACGGTTGGGATGGTGTTCTTCGCCTTGCAAGCAACCACCCTTTTTCCTCCAAACATAACGATGGTCATTATGGGCAAACAGTTCTATTTTTGTTTCATCAGACCAGAGGACAACCCAACCCAACTGCTGTAGCCTATTTATCCGAATGTACACACTTGAGTGAGTGACTGAAAGTGCATCCATTTACTTGCGTTCTTTTCAGATGCTTCCGGAATAACCTGCGATGAATTTCTTCGTCCACGTAAACTACTATATGTTTATCTCAAAACATACGAACCCCTGCTTTACCGATTCCGACGATGTTTTCGATTAGACAAGTAGTTCAATACTTTACAGTGGAGGAACAGACAGACCGAACGCTCTCTACTAGTTCAGAAATCTCTATCAATAATACATTTCGGAAGTAGCCTACAGTAGTTTGCCAATCTCGTCTGTGTGAATAATATTCTCTCAATTAGGTTAACAATGCGTTGCTTTTCATTTCACATCGTGTCCTCTTTTTGTGTTATCCCTTGTATTTGCATGAAAGCAACCATGTTCCCCCTTAGGTTTAGCCTACTTTCACCTTCTCTATCTGTGCCAATAGAATCACACCTTCAGGGGGAAATATACAGTATATCTAAGAATGCATTTAGACAGATAGCCCAATTTTGATCTTTTTCAATAATTTGTATTTTGACCAATAAGATCAGCTTTGGAAAAGAGCTCCTGAGAAAATATCTGATGTGATTGGTCAAAAGACCAATTAGTGGAAAGAATATAAGAATTGGGCTTCATTGTGAACTCAGCCAGAGAGAAGCTAGGAATGTTCAGTAAACTCAACCACACGTTGCAGATTAATCAAAATAATAATTTAAAGAATAATCTAAACAGACACAGTCATTGAATTTAGAATTATGTTTATTCACCATTGATACACAAACCCTTGCATGAGTAAACCTCAAATGGTATTTATTTAGGTGTTCTCTCTCTGATAAGTGACAAGAATAAACAAAGCCTTCATTTTTCTGAAAGTCTCTAGCACCGCCATGCATAGATCATAGAGTATTCCAGATGCCATCTGCAAGGTGTGAATCAAAACTCCTACTCTCACATAACATGTGAAAATTGAATGTGTGTTATTTTTCAAAGAAGCCTACACATGATAACATTTGAGAAAATAAATCAAAAGGCAAAAGTTGAGATTGATTCAAAGTCCAGGTCATTCTTTTTGACTTCACTTACGACAAATAAAAGTTCTCGAGGTGATTGGTGATTCCTTTTCAGCAGAAAGATGACATACAGGCTGGGAGTATTGAGTTAGTCAGGTTACAGCTATGCTGTAGTGTCTGGTGTACAGAGAACACAGTTCTGCAGAGAGCAGCTGATCACTGAGGGGCTCTCTCTCGCTGCTCTGGGTCCTACAGCTTCTTCCCTTTGTGTAACCTGTTAAAACGCAACATGTGCTCCTTCCTCAGGACCTTCCAGTACTCACGGCTATCTGGCTCCAGCTCATGGATATTCTTAGGGGGACCCAGCTGCAACTGGAACAGCCTGGGAGGCAAGAGAGGCAGCAACTTGGTGTCAATTAAATTGTTCATATGAAATGCTTTGTAATTATTAATTAATAACACATAACATGACATGTTTATAACAAAAGCTGCTATTCATGGACATGAAGTAGAGCATTAATAAAATATCCCAGAAAAACATAACTGATCTCCAGCTCTCTTCTCAAGGTAGTACCACATTTGAGCACTTACCACTCTGGGTATTCCTCGGGAGGTTTCAGTGCCGGGTCGTCTCCTTGCTTAAAAATGTTGACTCCGACAGCGTGAGAGGTGAGCTTCACAGGGTCCTTACACACCTCCGGACCCTTCAGCACATCTTTCACCATGCCCTTGCCCTTCCCTTTGGCAGCTGGGAGAGAGAAAGTAAGTTGGGATGAAAACAGGTTATGACTCATTCAATACTTCGGAACGGCTTTCACTGGTCTTATTACAAAACATGGAAAGATGAGTTAGAGAATATGAACAAGATCGGTCTTCTGCTTTGTACTAGTCTGCATCTCTCCCCAGTGTTTTTATAATAATAATAATAATATGCCATTTAGCAGACGCTTTTATCCAAAGCGACTTACAGTCATGCGTGCATACAGTGGGGGAAAAAACTATTTAGTCAGCCACCAATTGTGCAAGTTCTCCCACTTAAAAAGATGAGAGAGGCCTGTAATTTTCATCATAGGTACACGTCAACTATGACAGACAAATTGAGAAAAAAAATTCCAGAAAATCACATTGTAGGATTTTTTATGAATTTATTTGCAAATTATGGTGGAAAATAAGTATTTGGTCACCTACAAACAAGCAAGGTTTCTGGCTCTCACAGACCTGTAACTTCTTCTTTAAGAGGCTCCTCTGTCCTCCATTCGTTACCTGTATTAATGGCACCTGTTTGAACTTGTTATCAGTATAAAAGACACCTGTCCACAACCTCAAACAGTCACACTCCAAACTCCACTATGGCCAAGACCAAAGAGCTGTCAAAGGACACCAGAAACAAAATTGTAGACCTGCACCAGGCTGGGAGGACGGAATCTGCAATAGGTAAGCAGCTTGGTTTGAAGAAATCAACTGTGGGAGCAATTATTAGGAAATGGAAGACATACAAGACCACTGATAATCTCCCTCGATCTGGGGCTCCACGCAAGATCTCACCCCGTGGGGTCAAAATGATCACAAGAACGGTGAGCAAAAATCCCAGAACCACACGGGGGGACCTAGTGAATGACCTGCAGAGAGCTGGGACCAAAGTAACAAAGCCTACCATTAGTAACACACTACGCCGCCAGGGACTCAAATCCTGCAGTGCCAGACGTGTCCCCCTGCTTAAGCCAGTACATGTCCAGGCCCGTCGGAAGTTTGCTAGAGTGCATTTGGATGATCCAGAAGAGGATTGGGAGAATGTCATATGGTCAGATGAAACCAAAATAGAACTTTTTGGTAAAAACTCAACTCGTCGTGTTTGGAGGACAAAGAATGCTGAGTTGCATCCAAAGAACACCATACCTACTGTGAAACATGGGGGTGGAAACATCATGTTTTGGGGCTGTTTTTCTGCAAAGGGACCAGGACGACTGATCCGTGTAAAGGAAAGAATGAATGGGGCCATGTATAGTGAGATTTTGAGTGAAAACCTCTTCATTAGGTCAACACATTGAGCACTTACCAATGGTATCCTGGAGTTCAATGCCGGTTCGTTCTTGCTAAAATTATGTTGACTCCGACAGCTGAGAGTGAGCTCAAAGTCCTTAAACCTCGACCCTTAAACACATCTTCACATGCTTGCCATTCCTTTGGCCTGAGGGAGTATTGGTGAAACGTTATATCATTCAATTTGAACGCTTCACTGGTTTTACAAACTGGAACGATGATTGAGAATATTAACAGGATCGTCTTCATGCTTTGTACTAGTGGAAACTTCCCAGTGTTTGCTTGATATAATAATATGCCATTTAGCAGACCTTTTATCCAAGGACTTCATCATGTGCATACATTTTTGTGTATGGGTGGTCCCGGGGATCGAACCCACTACCTTGGCGTTACAAGCGCCGTGCTCTACCAGCTGAGCTACAGAGGACCAATTGTTTCCATTTATAGATTTAAAAAAGCCTTACAATCATTTACATTTATTAAATGATTAATTTATCTGGAAATGCAATAGCATATATTAAACATCATTGGCTCAAGATATTGTCCTGAATGCTATGTGGTAAGGCAACACTCAGGTTTAATCTAAAGATCCAGTGCCTTGAGATAAACTTCACAATTAGAGATAATATTGACAGGCAAGGCAGATGCTATGATTCAGTGGGTGGGTGTGAACGACCTATTTTGATTGCACGTGAATTCACACAAGAAGTTATGACAGGAACTGTGGCACATAGCAAGTAGCTAGCTATAATTATTCATACTGTAATCAAATAAATAACATTGCTCACCATGCCTGTAATTTACCTGTTCCTGGGTTCATCACCCAGTTATCCTTTCTAATGGTAACTAGCTAGCTAGATACATTTTCTAGTAAACATATTATCCTCCGCACCATTTTATTGTGGGGGGGGGGGGGGGTGGGTTTACAGAAGCCATTTACTTACCAACTTTCTTTGCATATCCACACGTCGGAATTCTATACAACAGGTTACTCATACAAAATCCCACAGGTGTATTGGTCGCAAAGCATTTAATTCTCATTGTAGAACAGAATAATCCGTACCCTGCCATCCTTACTTGTGGTAGGGGTTAACACAACTGGCCACCATGCATGTGTTTGACATTCATAATCGCCACTTCCGGGTTACTTCTTCTTCTAAGGAAAACCGAGCGGATCAGCAGTCGCTGAATTTCAATTGCACGTTACTGCCACCTGCTAGGAGGAATGCATGCGATCAATGTGCGGCAGCAAAGTACCATTCGTGAAACTCATCTGCATTTTTTCAGCGGGAGAGGAAGATTTCCATAACAACAGGTTGACACAGAAATCCGGTGGAGGTGGTTAAGAAACACTGGGCTGTGACTGGAGCAGAGATGGATGGAAAGGTAGGGGGGTTAGGAGTTGAGGAGGACGGGATGAAGTGTAGTGGTGGAGTGGAAAAGGGTGGATGTATAGTAAAAGTAAAGGTTAAGAAGAAAAGTAAGCCTGAGGAGCCTTTGCAGGTCTTGTCAGAGGAGAGTAGTGATGAGGGAGGTTCGGTTCGCAGTGTTGTACTGAGAGAAGTGGAGTTCAAGGTGTTGGTGAAATGTAAGGATCAAGGTGGAGTCACGGCGGTCGGTGAGAGTCAGATCACGTTGACTAGGGATTTGGAGAGTAAAGTAGGAGAGGTTGTGTCTGCTAAAGTTCTTCGTGATGGAAGTTTGGTGGTGGTGTGTTCCAAACAAGGTAAAGACAGATTCAGGTTGGATATTCGCGTGTAGTTTTCCTTACGTCCACCAACAGCAGTTAGGGACCATCAACATAGTGACAAATCTAATTTTTCGAATTCCAATAGCTCTTTAACCATTACTCCTACATCTTTCAAAACTGGTTCTAGCTAACCCGATGGCAGAGACACATATTGCACACATTTTTTAGTTGCTTTACATCTCGCACTATTTAAAATTTGTTATTAAAAATGTTTAACCAAAGGGTGTGCAATATACAAGGGTAGTCAGTGGACATTCTGAACCTTGTTTGAGGCCAGTAGGTCACATGACCAAGGAGCTATTGAAATGTGAAAGTTTGAAAAATTAATGTACAATCGTGTGAGATGAAAATTGACAAACTAAAGGGTGTGCAATTTGTAAGCCCACTGAGTGTACATTCTGAACCTTGTTTGAGGCCAGTAGGTCACATGACCAATGAGCTATTGAAATGTGAAAGTTTGACAAATTAATGTGCAATCGTGTGAGATGAAAATGGACAAACTAAAGGGTGTGCAATGTGTAGGCCCTCTGAGTGTACATTCTGAACCTTGTTTGAAGCCAGTAGGTCACATGACCAAGGAGCTATTGAAATGTGAAAGTTTGAAAAATTCATATAAAATCGTGTGAGATGAAAATGGACAAACTAAAGGATGTGCAATTTGTAGGCCCACTGAGTGTACATTCTGAACCTTGATTGAGATCAGTAGGTCACATGACCAAGGAGCTATTGAAATGTAAATAAAAAAATTTAATGTACAATCGTGTGAGATGAAAATGGACAAACTAAAGAGTGTGCAATGTGTAGGCCCACTGAGTGTACATTCTGAACATTGTTTGAGGCCAGTAGGTCACATGATCAAGGAGCTATTGAAATGTAAAAGTTTGAAAAATTCATATAAAATCGTGTGAGATGAAAATGGACAAACTAAAGGATGTGTAATTTGTAGGCCCACTGAGTGTACATTCTGAACCTTGATTGAGATCAGTAGGTCACATGACCAAGGAGCTATTGAAATTTACATTTAAAAAAGTAATGTACAATCTTGTGAGATGAAAATGGACAAACTAAAGGGTGTGCAATATAGAAGGGTAGTCAGTGGACATTCTACACCTTGGTTGAGGTCAGTAGGTTACATGACCAAGGAGCTATTAAAATTCAAATGTAAAAAAAGTTCGTACTTTGTTTACGCTCCCTTACTAATTCAACTAGGAATACAGAATACTGCTCACATTTCCACGTTTATTAGCTTTGGAAAGCTAATTAATGTCCAAATCGTGAAAATAAGATCTGTGCAATGTTGTGCGCAATTTTTCCAACATCATGACACTTATTTGGAGTCTGTGGCTTTTTTGGACAAACTAAAGGATGTGGTTTGAAAGCTATTGAGGTTTGAAAGCGCAAATATCTGGCGAATATACAACCTGCAACGGTCTTTACCTCGGTTGTGTTTCAATGCTAAACAGTATGAGAAGGCGCTCAAACTCAAGCAGGTATGTAAACGTGTGGTTGATAGTAGTGTTAGAAATTGCGTAATTCAAATCTGGTATTGGAATAAGAATCAAGAGATCTTCAATCCAAGCTTAATTTATATTATATGCAAAATGTATGTATGATAAGTATGAAGGTTCGTATACGGGCTCACTGAAAAACCACGCAGGGCAGACAGAGAACTAAACTATTGTTTACAGGTTCTTTCTCAAATACTCTGACAGAGTTCCCACCTCTTCTGTTGGCCAATCAGAGTAAAGGACTGAGTGTGGTTTAGACTTTACTCAGCCAATCCGTTGGCGCAGGGGTTGGTCCCAACTCCTCGGCGCTCCATTTGTTGCACACTGTTGCCAGGCACAAGTTTATCATAACAACCTGTGGAGTAAGCACCCAAAAGACACCATTCCACTGTACTACGTTCAAGGACGGTTCACAGACAACAAAGAGGCAGTGTTCGTATCTGTGAGAAATACAAGTCTTATCTATAAGAAATACAAGTTTTATCTCATCCTACCCCTAACGTTCCTTACATGAATCACAGCCTGTTATGTGAAACAATTTATATCAGTATAGTACAAACCTATGCTCCTCATTAATGCATTCCTTCTAAGTTATTCATCACATACAGATCCAATTATGGGAAAAATAGAACCCAACAATCCCCCTTTTGACACCCTCTAGGGTGTCACTCATTAAAATACAATACAAACAAAAATAAACACTTTTATTAATAGACAATTTGATAATAAAAGGCCTTCAGTCCTTCCATCTACACCCAACTTGCAAACGGTTGGCTACAAGTCACCCAGGAACTTCAAACCTTCACATAAGGAAAGACAAACATTCACAATGGTTAACTTGATTAATAAAGCATAAAACACAGGATTAATAGAACACAAAACATAAGATTATTAAAACATAAAACACCAACAAGGAAGTACATTTTGGCCCCCTTTAGACACCCTCTAGAGTGTCACTCCACCAAGCCTGGTTTCATTCCTTAGGTCGGAGTCCGGGATTGGGCCGTATCTCACCATCTGTTGGGAAACCACCTTCTCCATCTCCTTTTCTCACCAACCCTCAGACACAGGGAATAAGACAACATCCACAAAGAACAAGTATACCCATAGAAGCTATAACTTCACCCAGAATAGTCACAACAATAGTTTTCCATTTACCAAATATGTTATCAAACCAACCGTTTATGGAGCTATCAATACCAGAGTTCTCAACCAGTTCGTTCGCCAGCGTGGTGAGTCCCTCAAGCGCTTTGGTCACGGACCCGTCCGGTGCTGTATTGTTTGGGATGAAAGTACAGCACATATATCCAAACAGAACACAAACCCCGTCCCGCTCAGCCAAAAGCATATCTAAAGCTATTCTATTCTGCCATGTCATTAAGATAGTTGCCGCTGTCTGCTCAGCTAATCCCTTTATTGCATCACGAGTGTGGTTTATAAATCTTTTGCTGGTTATATTAAATATAATTTATCCAATCTACATTTTTATTAATTGTTGACCACCAGAAAATACTTGATTCAAACCCAGCTGCGATCTGATTGTGGATCCCATCAATATATATCCTTTCATCAAAGGATCCCGGGAGGAGGTCCTACTTTCTACGTGACAACTCACCAGTCTCTGACACGTTTGATTGTTTGCGTATGTAGGTGAGTTCACAATCAGTTATCACCACACAACCATCAGATGTCAGCACGGGCCTGGTTTTGGTTCCTAAAATCCTCTGGCTGCAACAAAGAGGAGAGATTAGTCATGGTGTCACGATCGTCAGAGTGAGTGGACCAAGGAGCAGCGTGATGAACGAACATACTTCTTTATAAATGAATGCACGAACAACAAAACAATAAACGATACCGTGACGTCCTATGTAAACCAAAAGGAACACACCGAAAGGAACAAGATCCCACAACTAATGTGGGAAAACAGCCTCTAAAAGTATGGCTCCCAATCAGAGACAACCAGCAACAGCTGACACTCGTTGCCTCTGATTGGGAACCACTCTGGCCAACACAGAAATACAACACATAGAATATACACACCCTGGCTCAACATATAGAGTCCCAGAGCCAGGGTGTGACAGTACCCCCCCCTAAAGGCGCGGACTGCGACCGCGCCTAAACATAAACAAACCAGGGGAGGGCTGGGTGGGCATTCCTCCTCGGTGGCGGTTCCGGCTCCGGGCTTGCCCACCACCCTCCAATAATCCCCCCGTAGCGCCCCTGGTCCGGTCTGGCCCCGCTGGCTGGAGCTGGACTGGACATCGTAGGAGCGGATTGCTTAAGCTCCGGTGTGGAGCAGCTGACCGGTACCTGACCAGGCACCGGTGACCCAGGCACGGGTTGTGCCGGACTGACGACGCGCACCCCTGGCTTGGTGCGTGGAGCAGGAGCGGGCCGGACTGGGCTGACGATGCGCACCCCTGGCTTGGTGCGTGGAGCAGCCACGGGCTGGACCGGGCTGACGATGCGCACCCCTGGCTTGGTGCGTGGAGCAGGAACGGGCCGGACCGGGCTGGCGACGCACACCGTAGGCTTGGTGTGAGTGGCAGGAACAGGCCGGACCGGGCTGGCGACGCACACCGTAGGCTTGGTGCGAGGAGCAGGAACAGGCCGGACCGGCCTGGCGACGCACACAGTAGGCTTGGTGCGAGGAGCAGGAACAGGCCGGGCCGGGCTGGCGACGCACATCGTAGGCTTGGTGCGAGGAGCAGGCACAGGCCGGGCCGGGCTGGCGACGCGCACCGTAGGCTTGGTGCGAGGAGCAGGAACAGGCCGGGCCGGGCTGTGGAGACGGATAGGAGACCTGGAGTGAAGAGCTGCCACAACCCGTCCTGGCTGAATGCCTACCTTCACACACTCTGTGTGAGGCATCAGCAC